TATTTCTTGCCATGTATCAGATATTGGGGTTAGAAAATGAGAACAATACCAACTTTTCCCATGATGAAATCAGAGTCTAATTTGAGTCTCAGATTTGTAAGCAGATATCTTTCCCATCAATGAGACACAGTATGTAGCACTTACAATTAAAAGCAGGAGAGAATAATTTTGGTCTACCAGAAACAAGATGACAGAGGGATATGACAGAAAAACAGCTGCTGAACCCAGGGCAGTGAAGAAGCAGAGTGCAAAGAGTGGAGTGGGGGACAAGAATCCAAGCCCCTGGTGACCCACCTGTAATCAGGCCTTACCTCCTAACAGCATATTCAGTTACTGAGTCACCATAGATGAATCCACCAATGAGTATAGCTTCTCATGAGCCAATCACCCTCCAAATGTGTGAGAATTTTCGAGAGAACATCTTAGCTCTAAACCTTGACATTAGATCATTAAAATAAAATATGATAAAGTGTGGCACATAATGAATAGCTCATTAACTCTGCCAGTTATCAGTCCTCAATCTGAAAACTGTATTCTCTGTTTCCATGTTCACAAGTATTCTTGCTGGACAAAACTCAGTGGTTGGTAGATAGATGCAAAATGGGTATAACCAGACTCCCAAGACACCACAGGTTCCTGAAGAATCCCCGAGGCACTAGGCAAAGGAACCCAGCTCCTTTCTAGACCATCTGATCAAAGAAAAACAATTCCAAGTTTGTAAAGGACTGTTAAAATAATGCATAGCTGTCAGGACCCAAAAGAAACAAACAGATTTTTTAAAAGATCTGGACAAGGAAAGGGAAGAAGAGCTGATCCAGAGGAGAATGGTGGCTTCAAAAAAGGGAACAAAACTGTGAGCTCAGAGTGTTGTAGAAACCTGACATTGAACCAAATGGAAGACTCTTTGCATTGAGGAAATGGAAGGCAACTATTTATTATGGTAGCAGGCTGGCAGGACCAAGTCCAAATCACCAGCAGCAATTAAGAGTGAACTGGGGAGTCATATACATTTTGTAAGCAGGAAATCCAAAAGCTAATAGCAGGTTATCATATAACTGGTTACATGATTCAAATGTATGTTGCCAGGCAAGGCAAAGGGGTTGTTTATCATAAGATGGGAGAAAACAGGGAGGGAGCTGGGACTGAAAGGGTGACTGAAACTAAGCACGTCCTTGACTAGTTTATCTCAGTTCAACAGTCCTTGAAAATAAAATATATCAGACAGTTCAGACAGCCCAGATGAATGAGACCGTACAGGCAGATGAATGAGGTCAGACTGACACAGGTAGGACTAAGTTGCAGCTGAACATGGTCAGTGAGGACTGAGTCTAATGGTCTAACTATGTGGTGGACTGGATGAGCACATCTCATCTTAACAGAATATTGGTCTGTTGATTTTTAACTTTTTTTTTCACAAGAAGACTTGGCTATAGACTGAATCCAACTGATACAGTTCCTGTGTTGGATCCGAGAACTATGTGGTGGCAGCGTGTAAATTCAAGGTGAAAGAAAGGAAAACAAATACACAATCTATGTTCAGCTCTTTAACTTGAAGCCAGTTTAGTCATAGCTTTGGACTCATTAAGTGATGGTCTTGAGTAGGAGAATAAAAGCCATTAACTCTACTCAGTCTGATTCTAGTCTTCTTGTTACTAGGGAAGCAATTTTCTAGAGACACGATAGAAAATCATAACCTCTTGGCCTGACAGCTCCTCTGCTACTCATTGCTACATGTTGAAAACCTTGGTTGCTGAGCTCTGGATTTGGATCCTTACCTGGGATTTGTCACCAACAGATGTGTGGTCCTTGGCGAGCACCTTCAGATGACTCCTTAGAAAAATCAGAACTGGGCCAGATGTCTTCCATGATCTTTTCAATCTTGGAGATTGTATGTGCTCAGCAATCTTAAACTAGGAAATCAACTCCAACTTGAAGTAAAATGAGAAACAGGATCAAGGACAAATATATGTACTTTGTCTCTCATTTTAATATATCCCCTTTGGGAGGCAATTTAGTGCATCATTTTTATTCAGGAAGCCCAATATGAATTGTTGCCAAGAGTCTTGCAAAACTTTTATTAGACCTTATTTTATGATACTTACAAACTTTTAAACAATATTATACCAATGCTTGAATACTACATAGAATATTAGACTAGTACATCTTACCCCAGAGAGCATGGCTATGATCAAGCAATCAAATAATAACAAGTGCTGCTGAGACTGTAGGGAGAAAAGAAACTTTCTCCACTGTTTATGGGAATGTGAATTGGTACAGTCAGTGTGAATATTCCTCAAAAAAAAAAAAAAAACCAACTAACTAGAAATTCCATTCAACCTAGCTATACTAATAGTTTAGGTATTGTCCCAAAACACTTAAATACAACATATTACAGTGATATGTGCAAATTCATATTTATAGCAGAACAATTTATAATAATAAATCTTGGAACCAGGCTCTATGTTGTTCATCAACAGATGAATGGAAAAAGAAAAAGTGGTATTCATACACGATGAAGTCCTACTCTGCCAAAAAGAAAGATACACTTGTGTTTATCTTTACTTTTAACTTTGTAAGAAGATGGGTGCACTTTGAGACCGCAATGTTAAGTGAAATAAATCAGACATACAAGTTTAAATATTGTATGGTTTCTTTTGTATGAAAAACCCAAAATATAAATAAAGAACAAAATAAGAGATTTTTTTCAAATGGTAAAGAGAGAGATTTTTCTCAAATCAAAAGTGAATCAAGAGACTGGGGGAGAGGGAGGAAGAGGACAAAAAGGAAATTAATATACATTATATACATGTGCTTACCCCTCTCAAGAAATGTGAACATTATGTACTGCCACAGTGTACCAATAAAAAATAGAAACTACAAAAAAATCAGGCTTAGACAAGTGCCATCTCAGAAGCACTTAGCAATTAGCATGGATTGTTGTGTTATCTGCAAGTAAACACTACATTCCTTTAAAAAAAAAAAAAGAATGTGAGACCCTAACAGATGGAAAATACAGATAGTCCTGGGTTTAAAGTGGGGCTACCTTCTGATAAACCATCATAAGCTGAAATGTCATAAAGTTGAAAATGCTTTTAACACACTCAACCTACTGAACTCACAGCTCACTCTAGATAGCCTGCCTAAACACGCTCAGAACACTTGGATTCACCTACAGCTGGACTTGACGAGACGCAAAGCACAAAACACAACATTCAAAAACACTGCAACATGACACACCGCGAGTGTCTGTTGTTTATGCTGATGGCAGCCCGGGCTTCCTGCTTCTACTCAGCATCCCAAGAGAGAACCACACTGCATACTGGCAGCCCTGGGAAAAGATTGAAAATACAAGTTTGAAGTATGACTTTTACTGAACACATCACTTATGCACCATCACAGAGTGGAAAAATTGTCAGTTGAATCACCATAAATCAAGGACCTTCTATAACTGAAGGTTCAGAAACTCTACCTTGTCACATAGCTATTTAGAGGCCAGGTTTGGTCTCACCCAGCTTGACAACCCCCCCCCCCCCCCCGCAACAAAGTCCACTGTAGAGTCAGTGTCTTCCAGGATGAAGAAAATAAAATTTACATTTCCTGATGTTGCTGTTGCAAAACTCAGTTGACACAAATCTGGAAAAAAGAACAGATGTACCACAAATATAGTTGAGTGTGATCCCTCCCAGCAAGGGGCAGGGAGTGATGGAAGCGGAGCCCAGATGGGTTGGAACTTTGGAACCATTGCTGAGCCTTTTCAAATAACATGGTTTTGTCCAGTGCAACTTTGAGCTCACAAATTGTTATTTTTCCCTTGGGGAAAAATAGGCAAACTAATTCCAGAAGATTTGATATTGTTTTCCTTAGTAAAAATAGGGATAAAGAGTTCATACATGTAATGTTTTGGTGCACTGGACTGACTGCTTACCTCTTGTGGGTTGTGTACTTTTAAATTAGTCATTGTTAAGTCTGTAAAATGATTACCTGCTAATGACAAAGATTTTCTTTCATTTGTTTTATAGTAGTATCACATTTGTTTATTTTACCTCTTCATTTCTTTTAACAAGAATAAAAAAAACATGTTTTAAGGAGGAAATATCAGCTCAAATTAGCACCTCCTCTGCTGCCATATACATTATTACCTAAATATAACTGCACAGTTGACACAGTTTTGTGATCTGATTTCCTCCCTCAGGTCACACTTTGCATCTTCCCTGTGATTGTCCTTTAATGGCCACCAGAGTGGAGGTGATAGCACTTCCCTGTTCTTGGCCCCGGGGCTACTTTGATGGAATTGTGATGGAGACAGCAATTTTGAGGCCATTGCCCTTTGGAAGAAGACATAATAAGCAGACCCAGCTACATTATGTGTCTGCCAAATAAAAGGCCACACCAGACTCTGAAAGGCCAGGTAGAGATGGCTGGTGGATAACGCTTCTTGTGGCAGGGAAGAAACATCACTGACACTTTATAACCAAGGCGCAGATTAACAAGAAACTCAGAAGTACACCACGCAGTGCCAATTCTGCCTTCCTCTTTTCTATCCCCAGAACAGCACAAAGAGGACAGCATGGGTAGTGTAATTAGCACCCTCCACCTTGACTTCTAGGCATCAGTGGTGATGGACAGACAAGCGGATCCACCTGGCTTTAGGGTGGCAGGTGAGCGGCGCGGACTGGCCCTTTCCGCGTTCTCAGGTGAATGAAGCGAGTGTACAAAAAATATCCTGGACTCGGCAGGAAGGGAAGAAACGATGGGAGGAGGTGCCGGCAGGTGGGAATGGAAGAGGGTCCACAGAAGAGGAGCCTGGTTCTGGAGACGTAGCAGGGCCGGGGTGCGAGGGCAGGCGGAGGACCCGGGGGCGTGCAGAGGTGACCGGGAGGCTCAACAGACCTTCTCTTTCTAGGAAGTGGGGAGGCTGCAAGGGCCACCCCCACCCCGAGCCGGAGGCGGGGCCTAGCGGTGTGGCTCGCGAGGGGCGGGGCGGGGCGGGGCGGCCGGGCGGGAGCGAGCGGGCGGTGCGGGCGCAGCCCTCGGCCGCCTGTCCCCGCGCTCTTGGTGCTCCCTCTGCGGACGTCGAGCTCTGGCCCCGCCATGCTCCTGCTCCTGGTGCTGTGCTTGGGGCTGCCCCTCCGCACGGGGTCGCAGGGAGAGGCGTGGAGCTGGGGTGACACTTCAGAGCAAGTAAGTGCGGGGCTGCGGGCAGCGGGGCTGGGCGCGGCTGCGGTGCCTCCCCGGCCGCGTGGCCGGTCTGACGCGGGAACCGAGGCATCGCCTCCTCTGCTCTCACGTCGTCCCGTCCGGGCGTGCCACCCGCTGTCCCTGGTGGCTCGCGACTTCGTCGTCTGCGGCGCCGGCCCTGGGCGAGGTCTCCCGCAGGGCTGTACCTGGTGCCTGACTGCCTTTCTGGTCATTTCTGAGAGGGGACCCATCCTCCTCCCAAGAAAATAAATAACAAGATTTCTGCCTTTGCGAGGTACTTTGTTGTTGCTGTTGTTGATTCAGGGAGAAGGCAGTCTGGGAAAAGTCACAAACCCCTGGAAGCCTCGGCTGTCCCAGCCGCAAATCCGGAGCGCACAGCTTTCCGGGTCGGTTCTCACCTGTGGCTAAGCAGCTTCAGCTAGGGTGGCCTGGTAACACGCTGGTCCCAAGCTCCAAAACATCTCGGGTTCTTTGGTTGATATTAAGTTTGAGTTTTTATTGGCTTAACGTTGCAGGTGAATGTGAGCTCTCTGTACGATGTGAGATGACTGGGGAAGTCTTAGAGAAGTACAGAGCAGGGTCACACCTGTACCACTGTTGTGATGTCGCTGCAGACCTCAAGGGAGGTGGCTGTGGAGTGGACAGCGCTGTTCAGACACCTCGTTTAAATGATGAACTGCTTAGCTTAAAGCATGCTTTTGCAAGATGCAAGGGAGATAGAGGTCGGTTCAGATCGTCTCCCTTTTTCCAGCCTCTTGTTTTGAGGAGCAGATCGAGAAGAAGGAATCTGCCCAGTCATCCGAAGGTTATCTTCACGCTGTCCCGGGAAGGCTCTGATCTGTGAAGTGCAGGTGGTGGTGACCCTCTCCAGGCTTGTCCCCAGGAGTAATCAGGACCCCCCCCCCCCCGAGCTTTTGTGGTGGAGTAGGACAGTGCAGCTTTTGGATCCGGGCTGGGGCCCACACTGACTGCCCTTTCGGCTTGTGTGTGGCCGAGGCTAGCCATTTATCTCTCCCTGCCTTCCTGGCCTCCTGGCCACAGCAGGGAGTGCGGCTCCTGGCAGCCTGAGCGGTGGTGTGAAGGACTGGCTCACAGCACGGTGCCCGGAAGGTCTTTCTGTGGGTAGTTAAGGGCATGCACTGGGCTGCCTGGAATTGAAGTCTGATTCCGTCCCTTTCCATCTCTGTGACCTTGGACTGATCATTTGTTGCCTCAGTTTCTTCTTCTGTGGGAAAAGAATACAGCTCTGAGGACTGAAGCAATTAATGCATCTAATATGCTCAGAACAGGGCTGGGGATTAGTGTCAGTTTTACCAACTTTTGGGCTTGAGCGGCAGAAGTGCTGAGGAAGGAATTTGGGGTAAAGATCTTGAAAGTTTTTTGCGCGGTGGAGGGAGGAGCCTGTGGGAGGGACTGAAACAAAGCTCCCGTTTGTGAGCCAGGCAGACCCATCAGCTCTGACGCCCTCAAGTCCAAGTAGGCTTTGCACTCTCTAAGCTTTCCTTCTTGGAAAAATGTGGACTCAGCCCATTTCGCTGACTTCGTGGATTTTATTTCTTCAACGCGTAGCTAATATTCGTCTTGAAGATGACTAAATCAAAGGAAAAACTAAAATGTAAAGTTGGGGAAGTCATAAAAAATTAAAATGTGTTAAGTACCTGTACCAACTCCCCACAGTGAAATGTAACCATTGTGTGCTACACATTTGTACTAATAAAAATTCAAACTTCAAAACATAAACTTGTATATTATAAAGAAGATTTGCAGTTTTACCTATGATCCATACTTTAAAAAAAAAATTGTCCTTGTGTGTGTGGTGGAGGGCAACAATTGAGAGACAGGTTCTAGCACCACACTTCCGGGTTTAAGTCCTGGCTGTGTGCTTGCTGCAGAGTTACTGATAATATTTCTGAGCGTCCACCTTGGAATGAAGATGATAAGATTACTTAATTAAAAGAATTTTAACCAGGTGTGGTGGTGCATGCTTGTAATCCCAGCACTGAGGAGGCAGAAACAGGAGGAATGCCATGAGTTTGAGGCCAGCCTGGCCTGCATAGTGAGTTCAAGACCAGCCTGAACTACAAAGCAAGATCCTGGCTCAGGAAAAAAAAAAAAAATAAGATTTTAATGAGTGAAAGGATTGGTATACTTAAATTTTTGAGCAAAACTTGGGAATGTTTACTCTTAAGTATTATGGTCTTCAAAATGATATATAAACTTAGTTTTTAACAGAATATGTAAATTTGAAGCAAATTTTAATGTAGCTAAACATGCCTACTAACTTACATTGCAATTACACTGCAATTCTTATTAAAAGTAAAGTAAAGGTAAAAATACCAGTAACACTTTACTTTCAGATTTCTTTCTTTGACCCTTACTCTTTACTCCAGCTGTAAACTATGCTACCCACGAAGGAGTAACTGATAAGAAGTGATGCTTTCCAACCTTCTCAGTGCCAAATAGTCACTTGGGGACTCCATTAAATGTCATTAATGTAGATCCATTAGGTTTGGGGGGGACTGAATAGAGGACAAATTATTCTGATCCAGGGGATCCTGGGACAGTGAATAAGACTAAAAGAACTTGTTGTACCTTACCTGTAGTTCCACCATCCTGGAAGGCTAAGGCAGGAAGACTGCATATTTGAACCCAGTCTGGGTAACTTAGAGATTAACTTAACTGTTTTGGGAGCCAGTCGCAAAGCAAAAACAGAGACAAAAAAAACCTCAGTAGCAATAACAGGCCGGTGACGTAGTTCAGTGACAAGGCCCTGGGTTCAATTTCAGTGCTGCTTTTTGTTTTTTAAAGACCTAAAGAATCTTTTAGGAAGTTAGTATTAGAAAGGAGTTCTCTTTGTAAAATCAGTCTGGTGCACATGCTGATTTACCTGTTTTGCAACTTTAAAATTTATGACAATATAAATATGATGGCTGTAGTCTATTATTACAAAAGCAGTTTTAAATTTATAAAACATTAATGGCTAGTAGTTATTGAATGCCTAGTGGCCCAGAGAGTTTGCTAGGAGCTTTATGTAGAAGAGGTCAGAAGCAATGAAGTGTTATGGTTGAAAGTGCTCCAGCTGAAGCCAGACTGTGTTGGCTGAAATCTGGATGGCACTACTTCTGGGTGTGTGTCACCGTGTGTCACTCCCTTGGATGTCAGCTTTGTCACTTGTGAGGGGGGATGGTGAATAGCTCCTATCTCATAAGGAGCATGGCTCTAGGTTTGAGGGGAGAAACAAAATTTGAACAATTTTAGGATTTTAAAAGACAGAATATTAAATTATGACTATAGAATTAGGTGCTAAAGTAACCATTTATTTAAAATGATAAAGCATAGCAGATTACATATTTTATCAGTCTGAGAAACACCATAGATATCACCCAGGATTAGGTACCTGTTACAAGGGAGGGAACCTCAAATTTATACTCTACTAAATTTCTAAATCATAACACAATACTAAATGTTGCTTGCTTAGCATATAGAGACCCTGTAGTCTATCTCTAGCACTGCTAAAAATAATAATTTTTAAAAATAATAAACCTGTTGTATGCACTTAATGATTGTGGTGAGGATTGAGTTAATTCAGGTGAAGCATTTGCATATAGGAAGAAGTGAGACACTGTTAGCTGTTCTGTATTACTTAGGCACAGCCTAGTGAAATCTCCAAGAACCACTTTATCTGTTTTATAAAAGACAGCCAGGGAAGTCAGTTCAGAAGTGACATACCAGGCTGCTACATGCAGAGCTGCTTAGAGCCCAGCTGTGTTAACTGCTGAAACTGGAGCTCTCAATAAACCCATTATAGCAAGCTGCTTTCATATTTGTAACTTAATTTGTTTAAATGTGATTTTTGTTTGTAGCTCCTGGCACATAGACAGTATTCGGTGCATGTTGGCCATAATTCAAACATTTATTGTGATGATACATTTCCAATTCTAGGAACTAGAAATTTTTTGTACTTAATATTTCCTTCAAATTTTCACTCACAAGCCTGTCTTTACAGTTGAGGAGAAAACAGAGAAGCAAGCAAGATAAATTTTTTTTTTAACTTTCTACAAAATAAAGTTGGTAAAAGACCTTGGAAGCTGCAAACCCCTTAGTAATGTCTCCCTGATGTGCAGAGACGTCATTGCAGTAAAAGGATTGTAGGAGGAGGTTGCTGTGGGAGAAATTTCAGCTTTGCTCACTCCCAAACCAGTCATGGCTCATTTCTTAGGGGCAGGGAAAAAGGGTGGGGAGTCCTGAAAACTGAGTGATGAATTGTATGTGTCTTTGTAATCTTAACCAGCAGTTTTCTCAAAGACTTGGGTGCCCAGGTTTAAGGAAACCTTACTTAACACACTGTTAGAATTGTGGTCAAGGAATGCCAGTAATGCTTCTGCATCCAAGGATCAACCAGGTCCACGTGGAAAGATGGAACTATAGGATGAAGAACTTAGTTTTCTAGTTTGGGGGAGAAGATGGGAGAGCGTATATACTGAAGCACTCATTGTTTCCCTAAAAATAGGGTCCATTTCCTATTTTTCCACAGGTAAAGAAAAAATCTGGGTGACTTACTGTCAACTAGTTGATTTTTTTCTTTTTGGCTCCAAATCTACCTGGAAATTGTCTAGAATTTTAAACCCAAATTTGAAGCTTTTCTCCCTTCACCGAGATTATAATAAGGCACACCAGTTGTTAGTAGCTAAGCAGCTTACAGCAACGTTATCCCCAAAGAAGAGCCGTTTTGAGCAGATGACACAGAATTACCCACGTGGAAAGACTCCTGGCTCAGTGCTTCTAGACCTGCTGATAAGTGACATCTCAGGTGACTTTCCAACATCTAGCCTTGGTTTTGTTCCCAGTTCTATAGCAGATACTGAAGGTAATAGACTGCTTAGTTGTATTTTAGCAAGTTATCAGAAAAGCAGATGCTAGCTGAGTGATCAAGACCCAAGGTCATAAAGTCATAGGTCCAGTAATAGAGCACAAAAGGCTCATACCTTCAGCTTGTGCTGGCTTTATTTTTAGAGAGTGAAGAATACAGACCTCCTTTTATGTTTTCTTACCAGTCAATCTGGGTCACTCAAGCATCCAGACCCAGAGAGAGCTGATATATCATGGAATTAGACTTTGTCCTCCATTCTTTCTCCAGTCTTTCCTATGATGCATTGTGTTAGTCAGCTTTGTGATACTGTAACAACTACATGAGGGAGGCAGTCAACTTATAAAGCGAAAAGATTTATTTTGGCTCAGGGTCTCAGAGCATCCAGTCCATGATTGCTTGGACTTATTGCTTGTAAACCTGTGATGAAGCAGCATATCATGGCAGAGCAAACCAGCAGATGCTTACTTTGTCTAGTATGCTTTCATATTTCTTTCATTTTTTATTTAAATTAGATAGTATGATCCCTGGTAGTAGAGATCATGGCTTATATGTCTTAGTAAATATTGTGGTTTAGACATCTTCTGTTCTGATGTTGGAGAAATAAGTTAGAACCAGAAAATTGTATAGGAGCAATCTCTTACCTCTATGAACTCGTGCTGCAAGAAAGTTGGTGGAAGCTCTAACGTTACTATTTAGAGCGGTTCTTGTCATGAAGCTACAAGTTAGTTACTTGTCTGTCCCTAGTTTCCACTTCAGCTTCTTATAAGACAATAGAAAAATACAAAAGAAAAGAAAAAAAAAAAAAAGAACCAGGAATTCCTAACCAAAAACAATGATGATGACATTGGTCTCATTTCCACGTCCAGTCCTAGCTGGCACCAGGAATCTGTACTGGGATGTTTTGGTTCTGGGTCAACCTGAGTTTAAACTTGCATTGAAGTGTAGCCATGGTGATCCCCTGAGGCAGCAGATAGTCATCTCAAAAATAAAAAAGCAACTCCTCTTGTTCTCCTTAAAGCTTGCTTATTCTTGGAAGACCTATTTCACAAAGGAGAAAACTTCAAAGCAAACACTTAAAGTCACATGGAGAATGTAATACCTGAGAGGGGCTTGGCTCCCCTTCCCACCATAGGTATTTTAAGTGCTCCCTGGCTTCTTCCACAGTTTTAGGGAGGGAAAGACCTAAGACAAGCCCGCAGAACTTTTGATGTGCTTGCCAAGGATCCTGACGATGGCATCCTTTGGTTCCCCATGTACTTCAACTCATGTTAGAAATCAGAAAACAGCGTTGTCCAGGAAATTCCTCAGTTCTCATTTGCAGTCAGGGTGGTTGTTGATCTGAAGCCTTTACTATTGCTATTTATGTTCCATTAAATAGGAGGCTGTGTCATGGTTTGCAGTGGTTTAATTTCCATATGCAAATATATATTTGTTTTATGCAAATATATTATTTATATTTATGTAAATATATTGAATATATATATATTTGGGAGATAAAGGAGAGGATGAGATTAAAATAATTTCTCTTATACTTTCAGTTTTTCAGATGCAAATATATGAATTGTTTATGCCATTGGAAATACTATATGGTAATTTGTTAATGACAATATAGAAAAGTGTAAAGAAAAATAGTTCACCCACCCAGAAATTGTAGCCTTTTGCATTTTGATGCACATGCTGCATAGAGACATATAAATATACTTTAAAAAACACGTGATTTTAAATAGAGATTTGTTGCTTAACATTTAAAAATTTATCTTTAGGGGTTGGGGATTTAGCTCAGAGGCATAAGCGCCTGCCTTGCAAGCAGGCAGTCGTGAGTTCGATCCCCAGTACCGATAAAAAGGAAAAAAGACAAAAAAAAAATTATCTTTAGTATATCTGTCAGGATAAGCTAGACTGCACTTGGTAACGTACAATCTACCAATCTCTATATCTTAAATAGCCAGCATTTATTTCTTGCTTATACAAGTTGTCCGTCTTGGGTTGGCAGTGGCACAAGCATGCACCTTGTGATCACTTGTGACCTTGGGCTTGATGGAGCAGGTACCACTCCAAACACCACTAATTTCCATAGTGGAGGGAGAAGGCTGTTCTGGTATCAAATGTCTGTATTTTAGTACTTGCTCCAGAAGTGACATTATTGGCTAGAGAAGTATATGGCCCCACTTACTCACGGGAATAATCCTGGAAGAGAACTAGAAAAATATTTGGTGAATATCATTAAAGTCTAGTAACATGAACATCTGTTGAATGTACATCCACATCATAGTTTTTAAGAGTTGTGTTGTAATTAATCAGTGTCTCATGATATATTTAACCAAACCACTTTTAAAGAGATTTTAGGTTATTTCTAATTATGAAAAATTGCTTTAAAAGTTGTAAATAATTTCCCTATATATTACTTTTTTCTACTGATTTCCTCACCTATGATACTTTAAGTATTATATTAAATTTGACTGCAGGTAAAATTTTACATTAACAAGCATGAGGGCAGGTGTAATATAAAATACTATAGTCACTTGAAAAAACAGTTTGGCAGTGTCTTAAAAAGTTTGATTTACTGTATGACATAGGAATTCCATTCCGAGGAAAATAACATATCTTCAATGAAAAGAATTGATGATGAATGTTCATTCAGTGCCTTTACAAGTTCCGAATTATTCATAATAGTTAAAAGATAGAAGAAATCTAAATGAGCATCATCTGGTGAGCAGATAACCAAATATAGTCTATTCATATAAGGGAGTATTATTTAGCCATAAAAAGAATGAAGTTCTAATTGCAATATAGACAAACATTAAGCTAAGTTAAAAAGGCCAAACACAAAAGTCTACATATTGTGTGATTCCAGTCATATGAAATGACCAAAATAGGCAAAGCCACACAGACAAAATAGGTTAGTGGTTGCCTTGGGATGGGGGAGAAAGACAGAGACATGATGGGTAAAGATACAGCTTTCTTTGTAGGATAATAAAAATGTTTGAAATTACTGTGGTGGTAGTTATTCAACTCTGCATAGATAATAAAAAACATTTTCTTGTGAACAAAATGAGTGAGTTTTATTGCACATAAATTGTACTTCATAAAGCTGTTTAAAATATTCATAAAGTCTGGGCATATTTTTCAAATTTCTAGTTTACATTGTCAAATTACCTTCTAAAAGAGAAAATGTATCATATTGATAACAAGTTGTATTATTTAAACAGAGATTTATCTTGAGTACTGTACAATGATTGACTAAAACTTCTAAATCAGTCCCAAGGTGATTATTACTGTGATTATGTTAAAAAGATGATTACATACATCTTTATAAAAGATGTGCCCATATGCATACAGATACATACATTCTTACTTTATACACATAACAGCAAGAAGCCTAATGTCAAGCCAAAAAACAAAATGAAAGAATACACATATTCTAATTATCAGTTCTAGTCATCCCATCTGGACCCCTCCTACAAATTCAAAGGCAATGAGATGACAAGGTGGGGTGATTTTTGAGGCAAGAGTCAACCTTGTCTGAGAGGAATGGATTCAAATTCCAGAGTAGAAACAAAATCTCTTAAAATCAAAGCTACTTTTCAGGATAAATCGTCCTTTTGGCGAATTTCAATACGTTTTAACCCCCTCAAAGAATCCTCTCATTCCTGTGTGCCGTCTCTTCTCTCTCTAGGTTGGACTCAGGGTCCCCAGGCAGCCGAGGCTCTTGCAGAGGCTGGTATGTATATTTACGGCGCATCTCCAAGTCCGTTCTCCTCTCTTCTGCTTGTTTGGAACCAGGTACCGCTTTGCGTGCATGTCCTCCAAAACTTGTAAGTTATGCATAGAAGAATTCTAACAAAGCAAAATAGTTGATTCTTTTATCACTTTTTTTGAAGTAGCTTTTTGTTTCTTTAAAAAAAACTTGATGACTTCAGTAGGACTATAAAAGGACATAGCAGGCAGTTTCAAAGACTTCCTTCAAAAACCACCTAAATATAACCACTATTCATTTTTTATGACCTCCTTACCCAGGAAATGAAGACTTTGTTGTTGTGATGTAAACAGTGAAAACAACCAGAAAGCTCACATCTGTGTATTAAAATGACATGTGATGAACGCGTGTTTTGGCTTATACGTTGGAACTTGAGCAAAGGGGTTAAGGTGATAGAAAAATATAGTGAATTAAACATCTTTTTGGCATAAAAGACACATTGCCAGCAATCCCCCTCAGAATACCCCCTCACCTCAGGTGCATTTATCCCACCATCTTGCAGTTTCCCTGAAAGTCTGTGTGTTCAGTTGCACTGTCGTGGCTACCTTGATGTCCCGAATGGATTCAATCATTTATTGCCTTTCACTGTCGTTTGGACTTTGAGGAAGGGCTACCAGCTGCTGGTGCCAGGTCCAGTGGCTTAGGTGGATGTTTTTTCAGGCTGGGCAGCAGGAGTCTTTGATTACAGCTCAGAGAGACTCTCAGAAGAGAGGCCTCTCAGAACTGCCTCAGAAAGTGACAAGAACGAGGGCACAAATGCGTTTAAAGCAAGAGGGAATATTCTAGGGGGAGTAAATGGCAATGTGTTTTCATTGTAATAATTTTTAAAATATTTTAAATAGTCTCTGTAGATTTGGTCACAGATTGTGTTTTTAAAAACCTCAGGGTTTCCTTATGACTGTGCAGTGAATTATAAAACGTGGGGACTTAGGCTCTGGTGAGGAGCTTATTATACCCTTCCTTCTGTGGCAGGTGTTTTAAGTCAGTTTATCTTTACAAGTGTCACCACCATTACCGTATCTGACTGGGACTTTGTTGTCTTTTCTCTTCATCTTCTTTTTCCTCCTCCTTTTTTTTGCTTGACTTCCCTTTTCCCCTTCCTGCCCCTGCCTCCCGTAACGCTGAATTTGTTAACTAGTATTCATTCTTTCATGTTTTCCTCCATGCTCACATAATCATAATAAACACAGGTACATACACATGTTGAGAATTGGGATGTGTCTGGGAGGTTCCCTTTTTTCCAGCCAGTAAGTTGTTAGCATTTCTTGGAAGATGGCAGAAGACAAAAGCATACTAGGTCAGCGACCTAGTGTGTGTGTTATCACTCGCAGTGACAGCGGTGGCCAGAGGATGGCATTTGCTTGACTCCTCAAGCCCAGTCCCTACACGGTGATACAGAGGGGCTGGCCCCCTACACATGAAGGTGGTTATGCTACATAGCGCAACTTCAAGTATAGAGAACCTGACTTTTAATAGTGAGCATTAAAGCTGTCTGGTCATTGTCTATGGAGGGAGATATTCTCTTTATTATTCTGGATACTCAGCCAACTTGCTCTAAAGGGAGACACAACCTGTTTTCCAATTATGTATTACACAGGCATCTGAATGGAAGTGGCTCACAACAAAGGCAGCTAGCTTTTGTACTTGCAAAATGTGGAGAACTACCACAGACCCATGGAGAATAGTCTCCCAACAAAATACACGTGCGTCACTCATTCATTCATTCATTCAGCAAAATAGTTTCTGGAATGTCTGTGACCTGCTCAGCACTGTTTTTGTAGGCACTGGGATACAGTGATAACAAAACAGACCGTAAGTACACCCTGGCCTCCTCAGAGGTTGGAAGTGGAAGACTGAGACAAAAAGACAAAATAAATGCTAGCAGTTGGGAAGATGACAAATGTCACTGAGAAAGTGCACCAGTGGAAGATGGGGCAACTTATACACATCTATGTATATGAGATCTCTGAGCATTGCTTCAAAACAGCGGAAATGTACAATGTTTGCAGATGTTTACTGAGTGCTTACTATGTGCCAGGCATTGTTCTAAGTGCCTTTTTTTTTTTTTCTGGTACTGGGAATTGAACCTAGGACCTTTGGCATGGGTTACATTCCCAGGTCTGCCTCTCTCTCTGTCTCTCTCTTTCTCTCTATTATTTTTTGAGAGCAAGTCTTGCTAAACTTCCCAGGCTGGACTTGAACTTGTGTTCCTCCACCTCCTGGAGTGCTAGGATTATGTTTGTGCTAAGTGCTTTGTGTGTTATAACCTAACTACTCGTATAACAGTTCTTTGCAGTATTTGAGATGAGAGAACTGAGGTTCAGAGAGACTGAGTAACTTTTCCAAGATGACACAGTTGGTGAGATACGATAGAGTCAGGATTGCACCCCAAAGATCTGGAATTTTCTGAGTCCATGCTCTTAACTCATACCATAGCCTGCCTTTTTAGTTATATGTGTTCCTCTATTTCTTATTATTTTCACTTAAGAATACTTTATCTGGATGTATCCATTATTTAAAGTCGCTAACATTCTTTCGGCACACCATAATTTGTAAAGCATTCTACTACTGATGAAAGCTTAATTTGTTTATAGTTTTTTGTGCCCAACAAACAGTGCAAAAAACCCAACAACCTCTCTTTTGTATATACCATTACTCACAGTGCATTTAATGCTATGGTTTATATTTTCAGTGGGAAGATTGCTGATTCAAAGTAATTTAATTTTGATAGATTTTTTTCAGATTCCTTTTTGAGTACTATTGCTTTTAATATTCTCTTTATCATTCTGGATACTCAGCCAGCTTGCTCTAAAGGGAGACACAACTTGTTTTCCAACTGTTTATTACACAGGCAATGTAAGTGGTTCACAACAAATTTTATTTAACAAAATTTTATTAGCTTTATTCTATTTTTATTAGCAGTGATGAATACGTACACTCTTGCTAGTAATCAATATAACTACACTTTTTGATTTGCCAATCTCTTAAATATAAAATGACATCTCCTTGTTCATTTCACTTGCATTTCCCTGAGTATGTACAGATTTGGACATTTTAAAATAGATTGGTTAGACCCTGGAAGCAATTCTTCTCCAAATTGCTTTTATCAGGTCTTTGCTCATCTTTCTGTTGTGTGTTTATCCCCCATTGTAAATTTATCAGAGATCTTTGCATATTATAAATAACTTCTGTCTTCTGAAGTGGAAGATTCCTCTGCAAATCTTTCATTTGTCTGTTAATTTTGTTTATGGTGTATTTGCCATATAAAACTTTTTAAATTCCTAAGTCATAAACAAGTCCATCTTTTCTTTTATAGTTTCCAAATTTTTGTTCTTGGCCACATAGATTTTCATCACTCTTTAGCTTACCCTGTTTATATAATCTTTTAGATTTTCTTAGAAAACTCTTAGGATTTTCACAGCCTTATACTTACGTTTATTACATCTTTTTTCAGTACTGGAGATTGAATCCAGAGCCTCCACACTGAGCTACATTCCCAGCACTTTTATAATTTTAAATTTTGAGGCAGGGTCTCGCTAAGAACCTCAGTTACCCAGACGGGGCTCCCAAAGTGCTTGGATTACAGAGATGGCTGGATTACAACCAGGCCTGGCTGCTATAAGTTTTTCATGTGAACTTTGCCTATCAGCATGTACTGGAACGATCTCTCTAGCAGTAGACCCGCACATCACGCTGTCCTGTGAATGTCCTCAATGATGCTACATTACCTTCAGCATAAAAATTAAGAATATACGGGACCCTGCATGACCCGGCTCCTGCCTGTGTCTGCGGTCTTGGTTCACTGCGCGAGTCTCCTGCATCTGGCGCTGTGACCATCTCACACCAACTGCAGTCCTCTTAATGCAGTTGACTTAATGCAGTTGCAGGAGCCACACTTGACTTAATGAATAAGTATGTGTGGTAACAGCTGGGAAATGTCTCTGTCTTCTGTTTCATGCAATAATAATGTGCACTATACATTTTTCTTCAAGAAGGAGAACAATTAATGTTTCATAAATATCTTTGGGCTGCCACACTCTAGTGTTTTCCTCTTTAGGAGGGAGACCCTAATTATGGTGTTTACAGAACAGTTAGGCCAGAATAAAACATCAAAAGGTTACCCCTGTGGAGGAGGCACTGGGGCCTGGGTGCTGGCAAACGCTGTCCCAAACATTCCTTAGTCACATTTCCAGATGGCAACGTGGGTAATTCAGGACGTCGGGTGGTGGATTTTGAGTAACTCACATGAGTCATACAAAAACCTTTCATCCCTTTGGCAGCTAATTAAGACACTCCCTGCCTCAAACTACTTTTCCATCTGTTTTGGTTTTGTAGGAAAAAATAATGGAGAAATTACATTATGTCACAGGAAGATGATTTTTTTTGTTCTCTATTTCGTAGTTGATATCCCTAAACAAAATTGTCACTTAATTAGAAATACGGAAAACATGTTGGATTTTTGAGAACTGTGTAGTGGGGGAAAAGTTCAGGCAACTGCTTTATGTCTTTGGTTTTCTGACACATTTTCATGAATTGGTACAGTTTGAAATTCTATATTTGCTTTGTAGTGTCATTTCCTGACTATTTTCACTTGCCTATCTGCTACACTTCTTGCAATGTGTCCTTATTTCTAAGTAAAGTCTTGCAGTGTGTCCTTATTTCTAAAGTAAATTTCTATTTACTAAGCCAGGTTGTGCCTGGGATCATTCCTGTTTCCATATTTTTTTTTGTGTTCCTAGAATGCTCTTTTTGTTCTCTTCCAATGCATACAAATTCTACATCTATTTTAGAACTTTTTTCTTACATTTTAAAGATGTCAGTGAGTTATTTTTCTCTTGGGATTTTTGTTCTTTTATTTGGGGAATAATAATTTGAACCCAGGACCTCAGTTATGGTAGACAAGTATTGTGCTATGGAGCTACCCTCCCAGCCGCCTACGTTTTTGTGAACTCTGGAAGTCTTGT